TCTCTGTGGTCGATTAGCTCAATCTGAAAAGATGACAGATATCTAACATTTAATTGAAGTACATGCATACAAGCCAGGCATCACCGGGTTTTGGGACCCCACATTTGCTACTTTATGTATCTTGTCTTTACCAGCATAATGAGTCTTCTCCTTTGATTGCTTGATGAGATTGAAGAATACAGATCAAGAAACTGGAGGTCACTCCTCAATATAGATCTGCCAGAGTTCTAGATCCTTGTTTTTGGACTCTTCAGCTCACCCCACAGGTTTTCCATGAGGTTTAGGAAGGCTATGTCAAAAGCCTGACTGTAGTAATTTACCCATTTTTGTGTGGATTTGGATGCATGTTTTGGATTATTGTTCTGCTGGAAGATCCAAACAAAACCAATTCTCAGCATCTGTCAGATTTTCATTTAAAAATGTGTGTCCTAGCAAAGTTCTCAGGGCCTTTGGAGGAAAAACATCCATAAAATCACAGATCTCCCACCAAACTTAATAGCGATGATTAGGCTCTTTTCTGAATAAGCATCCTTCTGTTAAACCAAACCAACATTGAGTTTTTTTTACTTTTTTTGTCAAAAAGCTCCATTTTTGTCATTTTTTTCATCTGACCATGGAATTTGGTTCCAGTCAAAGTTCTAGTAGCATCTATGAAACTCAAGAAACTTACTTCTGACTTTGTGACCTTCACATCTTCTGCAAATTTCCAACCATAATGCTTTTAGTAAATGTTGGCTACCCTAATCACACTCTCTACTGTGCCTGTAGGTAAAACAAACTTGTCCTCTTCCTGGCAGGTTCTCTACATCTCGGGTTGGTTTAAACGTCTTATTTACTGCCCTAACAATGGCAATAATGTAATAGAAATGGGCATTTGCGGGCACATAGCTTTAAAACCATTGGCTGTTATTTTATTCTTGTACCCCAGTGAAACAAGAAGTCATGACCGCTTAAGAGTTTCTGAACAGGTGACAGGTGGAGCTATAAAAGGAACATGTTTCAGTTACATTTTGTTAATAAAAAACTCCTGAGGTGTCAGTAATTGGGTCATGTGGTTTTGTTTTCCTGTCTGTAAATGAGTCTTTTTTTCTGGTCACAGATTACGCTCAGTCTTTTAGTCAAAATTTCACCAGTAGGGCCCTAATCGCCTTTGAAAACCAAAATCCATGTACATTTGTGAAAAAAGACATCTGACAATCACTAACATTACCTCAAGCACATGCCCGTCCACTGGCGTGAGCCATGAAAAGACTAGAAAGCCAGCATGACACAGACAAAAAAATACCTAAAATTTCATGCACCTTTTTCAAAGCCCTTCAAGCCTGAGTCCATTTATGTGCCTTGATTTTTCATTTTACAAACAGCTGCATTAAGATACTTCAATAATGGCAAAGAGAAATGTTATTAATAATGGCACTTTTATAATTAATATAGTACACAGCATAAGAGAAACTTAGGGAGCATCTTGGTAAGGAACAGACAACAGCATATTATAAATATCTCTCACATAGCTTTCAAACATACATCAGAAACATGCAACCCTCAGTTAAACTCAGTCAAAAAGTAAAGAAAACATTTAGCAACAACCTCATACATGATAACCATGGAAAATTCATTACTTGTTTGCACCGTGTAAATCTTCGTTTATGACTGGGAGTTGTCACAGTACAAAAGATTAAAATGCTGAGATTGTACCTCACCTAATTACACACACACACACACACACACACACACACACACACACCTATATGCATACACAGACACTCAAACCCACAGCACCATTCTAAAGGCCACTGCACACAGAGGGTGACACAAGAAATGACAAAAGTTGCTGATTTCTTTTTTGTAATTTCACCATGCTCGTGTTGTGAAAAACCAATGCCAGAAAAAAGAACAATGGTAGAATATTTTCCAATTAAGAATGCAAATTTTGGCAACTTCTTTTGACCGATAACTGACCGTAACTAGTCTGTGAATAATTTTTAACCACAGGGGTGAAACAAGAAGCTAATTTCACAATATAATATGTATTGCCATTTTTTCATATCTCAATACAATACATTTCTATATAGAATTAGAAAAGAAATGCTAACATAACTTGCACATTTATTTTTTTCATTATTCCCAAAATATTTCGTTTTCAAAAAAGAAAAACGGAAAAGAAAAAAATTGCTTATTGAAGAGATAACTGGCACAAGTAAGTTTTTAGATTACAAAAAATAACTAACACACACACACGCACGCGCGCATCATCTAAACCACTTATCCTTCTGGGTCGCGGTGGGGTGCTTTAGCCTATCCCAGCTGTCATTGGGTGGAAGGCAGGATACACCCTGGACAGGTCGCCAGTCCATCGCAGGGCAGACAGACAGACATACACACTCAATTTAGCATGTTGGCCTGACTGCATGTCTTTGGACTGTGGGAGGAAACCGGAGTACCCGGAGGAAACCCACGCAGACACGGGGAGGACAGGCAAACTCCACACAGAAAGGACCCCAGTCTCTCTATAACCCAGTGGTGGAACAAATCAGAAGCATCTGTTTGAAGTTGTGTGTGAAGGAGTTTGCTCTCTCCACTCGTCATTTCAAATATCTTGGCTAATTAACCATCCAAGGTAGACAAAGCTACCTTCTTAGCCTCCTGCTTCTTATTCAGATGTTCTTGAGGTGCCCTGCTACACAATTTCAGGTGGTATGGAAAAAATTTAAAATGAAGCCGTCGAATAACCAGCCAACTTTAGCTTCATCCAAGATAGGCTAGCCATACCAGTTTTTACCAGTTCCAAGGGCTTTTCCTTTTTTTGATGGTTATTACTTTTAGAACTATCATGGACTGTGAAATACACACCATACATACATTATCTACGCTGCTTATCCTCCTGGGTTGCAAGGGGTGCTGGAGCCTATCCCAGTGCTCACTGGGGGGAAGGCAGGAAAACACCCTGGACAGGTCACCAGTCCATCGTAAGAGAGACATATACATTCACAGACACATTCACACCTAGGGGCAATTTAGCATCTTCAATTGGCCTGACTGCCTGTCTTTGGGCTGGGGGATTAAACTGGAGCACCCGGAGGAATGTTCTTCTCATGTATGCAGACATGAGAAGAACATTCAAACTGTACACAGAAAGGACTTGGTCACCCGGCTGGGGAATCAAGCCCAGACCCTTCTTGCTACCCACTGCGCCACCATGCAGCCCCTGCGTAAAACAGAACCATAGAAAAATTCCTAGAATCTTGCATTTTATAGCATAAAATCTACCTGTAGTTAATTCACAGTGAGTGCCGTCTTGCAACCCCATATTGAAAAAAATATATATATTAACACTTGACACCCCAAGTTAACAAGCAAACCTAAAATCAAAGATGCAACACATCAAAATACCAATTTTCAAACAGATAGTTCTGGTTCTGAAATCTGACTGGCTGAGCCACGTTTGCAGCCCCTGTAAAATACTTCATATACGCACACTTATGAGAGCACACATCAATCGAATTCTGTGTTAATGCACAGAGTTATTAAAAAAGTGATCCCTGTATGGCGCAAGGAACACTGATACAATATGTACTAATGTAAGAGGCCTCGCATCAGCGTCAATATGAGGTAAACAGTCTATAACTGTATTAAACATACCCCACATAAGAAACTTGCTCGATTTAAACTGGGCGGCATGCAACTATATATAATACCATTTCTAATGGACCCAACTGCACCCTCAAGTGAACAATTCAAAAGTGCTGGAAAAGAAATAAAATGAATTTTTTTTACTGATAGCATTGGTTGAACAATTGCTTATTTGTCAGTCAGTGGTTAATTGGTAAGTCTTGTACATCCCTATTCAAGTGGATAAACAATATCCTCTGCTTCTCATAAAAACGACTATGGTGGCTATGGGTAGGTTACTTATCATTTTGGAGGAGCAACAAGAGCATGAAGAGTTTTGCCTCATTGAAGAGCTGAAACTTTATGTTTTTGTATATAGTTTGGATGTCTGTAGATACTAGAACCCTTCGCCAGGAAGCAGTGGACAAAATAATTCCTTTTGATGCTTAAAAATATTTTATTACTGGAACACAGCTAGTCCATCTTCTTGGTTGTCACTGGGCCAACACCAGAGACAACAGTGAATTGTTGAAGAGTTCACGTTGCCTGTGAAAATTAAAAGCATAAAAAACAATGGTGCATTTTCTTTATCCAAAAAATGATTTGGTTTGCAAGACATCACCAGTTATACACGCATTCAAATTAATTTACTGACGTCCAACTTAATTGCATAAAACATAAACTGTGCTCGGTGTGTAATGGTTCATTTTGGAAACACGCAACATCCTGTACAGCACTGTGCAAAAGTCGGAGACCACCCTTAATACTTACTTAATATTCAGTCAACACAGCCACTATGTACAAGTTATTCATTTGTCAGCTTGAAAAAAGGAGGAAACAGATTTAACAGAATAACACAAAGCATATCAAATCTATCAGTATTTCATTTGTTCACTCTAGATTTGCACCCTGGTAGCACTTTAACTTTTCCTTACTTCCAGTCTTAATCTAACCAGTTCAGTCCTCCCAAATGTGTTCCCAAAAGAGTCACTGACACAATGTTTCCCTTCATACAGACACCCAAACTCACCTTAGCTGCCTTGAAATTTCTTTTTCATGTGCATTTAAAATGGCTAAAGGAGACATTTCTGATGAGTTTAGCTATAAGATAATCCATGTATAAGAAGAGAAATGTGACATAAAATAAGACAAATAAGTAAAAACAATGGAATTTCCAAAATTGGAGTTAAAAAAACATTTAGAAAATGGGACTCTTAACAACCACCTGCAAGACCTGGTAGACCACCAAAACTATATTCATCAGATAAACAACACTTAAAGCTTTCACCTTTGAGAGAGAGGAGAAAATCAAGCTCCACTCTTGATTCAGATCTGAAAAATCCACAGGTGTTTCTGTCCATCTTTCCACTGTGAGAAGACGACTCAACACTGAGTCTGAAAGAATGTGTGGCTGTTAAAGAAGCTCTCACTGAGAAAAAGAAATAGAAAAAAATGGAGCGGCCACCCGAGTCCGACCTCACTGACTGTGTCTGGGATTACTTGGACTGCGATAAACTGAAAATTCAAACTTCGAAGAGAAACAATAATATTAAAGGCAAAATATAGACATATTAATACTGAAAATATGACTATATTTAGTTCTTGAGGCTTCTGTGTAATTTTCTGTTATGTATATGTTTATGTTTTTTTCTTTTTACCTGATGCTGAAAAATCAAGAACTTGTACTTAATGACCACTTTGATTAAAAATGAAATAAAGGGTGATCCCTATGTTTTGCAATATACTCTACATTTCCATGTTTCAGCATAGAATGAGTGCACATATGCCCCCCATATACATACACACATACACACACACACACACACACACACACACACACACACAGAGCTTCCTTTACTATAACTCCTCCTTAAGGCGTGTGCTCAGTCCTTCTGCGCGGGAGTCACTGTCGTTTAGCCACTTGTTGAACACTGCTACAGGGTCAATATTCCAGTGTTTGTGGAAAGAAATAGGAGTCTGGTGGGCAAGAAAGTCTCTGGCATAATCTTCTGGCCGTGCCTGCGGGAAAAACAACAGTACAAACGTGAGCTCAGAGAATAAGTGCCATTTAGAGTCACTTAACTGCTTATTATCAACTGGCTGATCACTTTGAAGACGTTTTGGCCCAAAGATGGTTTGATCGCTTTTATCCTGAGCCAAAAAAGCGCCATGGAGTAAGTTTGGACATGTAAAGAACATGATGTACCAAAGACAAAATCCATAGTTTTTTATTTTACTGTGTCACAAACTACTAGAGCTGAGAGCTGATCCCAGAAAGAGCCCATTCCCCGATCCAAGCACTTCACACCCGCCCACACATGGAGCTTGCGATATTCTGCTGTCACTGTTTAGATAGTCTTCTTCCTTCTGTAGCACATGCATCAACAGAGTGAGGGAAAAGGAGTATTTAGACACTTTTGCTTTTTGTTATTTAATACACTTGAGGTGCATTAAAAATGCAAAAAGATGCCTTTGGTCGGGATTTCACGCAACAAGTAGCAATCACAGCAAAGGAGAAGGAGATAGACTTGGATAGAAAAAAGCCTCAATGATATCACAGACATTAAACATTCCATCTAGTACAACTGGACAACTCTGGCATGCAAAACTTCACAGCACGCTCTCAGACTAATGAGAAGGTAAGAGAAAAGCCAGCAGTCACTCAAAAAGAGCTGCAAGACAACCTGAAAGTAGAGGACAATAAGCAATGAACTGCACCACAATCATCTCTGTTCCTACAAACCACGCAAAAAAGAAGCACATCTAAACTTTTTAAGCAAATAGCATTTAGACTAATAGAACAAATGTATTCTGGTCAGACAAAACAAAAATAGAACTGTTTGGCATTAATTCTGACCCATGTTTGGAGAAAGAAAGGTTGCATGTATGATCCCTTGAACACAAAAACCACAGTGAAGCATGAGGGTGGTAGCATCATGATACGGGGCTACTCTGCAAAGGTACTGAGGCATTATACATCATAAAAGGAAACACAAAATTAGCGAAATATTAGTACTTTAGATCTTAATATAGAAAAAGCTATAATTGCCAATAGCAGATGTTCTTAAGCTACTGTGTCTGAATACTTATTCCCTATTAATTTAGTTTTTAACACATCTTTGTTAATTATTGAATGCATATGTTTTGTTCATCTAAGTCGAAAGTCGAAAGCATATTGGACTAGATTTATAAAACTCTGCGGTATCAATGCGACACCACGCAAAACTGGTGGCACGTGAACAGGAGCTGTTCATAAAGTCACTGTGGTGGTGGTTGGTGCGATGGTGTCTTTTTAGCACTGTTTTTTTTTCAGTGTCCTAGACAACAGCCAATCAAAATAGATAACTAAATACACCGATCAGGCATAGCATTATCACCACCTCCTTGTTTTCTACGCTCATTGTCCATTTTATCAGCTCCACTTACTATATAGGTGCACTTTGTAGTTCTACAGTTACAGACTGTAGTCCATCTGTTTCTCTGCATACTTTGTTAGCCCCCTTTCACCCTGTTCTTCAGTGGTCAGGAACCCCATGGACTCTCACAGAGCAGGTACTATTTGGGTGGTGGTGTGTTAGTGTGTGTTGTGCTGGTACGAGTGGATCAGACACAGCAGTGCTGCTGGAGTTTTTAAACACTGTGTCCACTCACTGTCCACTCTATTAGACACTCCTACCTTGTCAGTCCACCTTGTAGATGTAAAGTCAGAGACGATAGCTCATCTGCTGCTGTACAGTTTGTGTTGGTCATCCTCTAGTCCTTCATTGGTGGTCACAGAACACTGGATATTTTTGGTTGGTGGACTATTCTCAGTCCAGCAGTGATGCTGGGGTATTTAAAAACTGTTATGCCTGACCGGTGTACATTAACATGTTAAAAGCTCCAAAATGGATAGGATGAAAGAAATGACAACACAGGAACAAAGAAAAAGTACGTTTTCAGAAAGAGAGCTACAAATTTTGAGACAAATGCAGACAAATAACAGTTTTCCAATTCCAATTTTCCAATTGCCCTGACCATTTTTTTTTAACATGAATTTCAAGTTTGGCATGTGGATTTTTCTTCTCCACACAATGAAAAATTAATTTGACATGCTGAAATTCTAATGATCATTTTAACTTTATTTCTTCACTCAGGAATTCAATTTGCCTATGGGAAAATGAAATTACATGAGTACATTTTAAATGTCGATTGGTTACAATTTAGATTTTACTCGTAAGAAACAAGAAAACGAGTTACTGGTACACTGTTTGCTCTTAAAGTCACGGTAAAACTGGCTTTAAGTTTGATGACATTAGATACATGCACTGGAAACATTTCCTCTTACTGTACTGTACTATGGTGAAAAAAATATCTGTAGAGTCAAATGATTAAAATGTTTATAGTCAATCAATTGCATTATTTTGTGTGGTTAACTGTGATTTATCGCGTAAGTCTTATATGCTCAACATCTGACCCCAAAGAAATATTTGTTTTCTATTTAAATTGCATAAGTGGTCAAAATAAGCTTAATCAGAAAGGTGAAAGTCACTTGATTTCCATAGAGTGAATGCTTTCGTTTGCAATTTTCATCACCAACATCCAGTGAGAGCAACAGTGGCTGCATCTTATAACCACTGATCGTATATATCATACGCATCATATATACAGTCAATGGTTGTAGCCTCTCACTCTCGTTCATGCAGCTTGTGGACGACTGTGGTCCTCTTGAGAGGAACTGGTGCTCCACTTTGCTGTTCTTTTGTTAGGTTGCTGCTTGCCAATTTATCCATAGTTCACCTGTAAACACCATCCAGTGCAGTCTACTAAATTACTGATGCTGTCAGCGTATTACGACTCCCCTTCACATGCACACACATCATCCAGTCAGGAGGCTACAGATTTACATTTGCAGTTTCTGTTGTTTCTGTTTGAGTAGCATCAGTTCTGTGCTTAGCTGGTAATCACTTTTATCAAAAGAGACATCAATGGACCTTCTTGCCACACTGTGGCTCAGGCTAAAATAGTGTGACTTGAAAAGAGCAAATGGTGAATAAGCTAATGTTTATTACCATTTGTCTGACACGGCACGTCTACAGAGATCACCATTTGACATTTGCACACACAATAGTGGGGTCGTCTTCTGTCGGAGATATCTAGCAGCAGAGAACAGAGTCTGACAGGTCTGCAGCCAAGCAGAGTTCTGGACAGCCATGTTACTGACCCCCCTTCTGTCTAATTGGATAGCTGAACCTCAACAGAGAACAGACGCTATGTACTAGAACAGCCACGCGCCGGATGACTTCTGACTTCATAAGGGAGGAACTTCGTGTGTGCTTTTGTACATTTTCAGGACAAAAATGTACCAACTGGGTAGTAAAACCAGAGAAGAACAGGAATGACCAACAGGTCCAACAACACTGTCCTGATTTTGTGAAGTGGTTTTTACAATAGCATAGAACAGGTTCAGAATATATGTATATACATAAATATATGTGTGTGTATATTATATATATAATAATACACAAACAGTACTGTGCACATCAGAGACCACCCTTAATAATACAATTACTTCAGTGTTAGGAAAAAAGCAGAAAAAACATATTAAGTCTCAATAACTAAATATAATTTTAACATCATAAAATAAATACAATTGTTCAGTATTTAATGTACCCACTTTTTGTCTTTATTACAGTTTCCATTATTTTCAGGAAACTCACTTCCAGTTTTCAAAGAAAGCTGCAGGGATATCTGTCCACACCTCTAAAGTTCAGTCTCAGAAGTTAGGCTGCATTTTCTGTTTTTCACGACCTGACTAATTTCAAACATTGAGGGGTGGTCAGTCCATTGTTCTGAGACTACAAGTAACTTTTTGATTGATTAGTAATTTTTCTTGTTTTCTTTTCTCAGTAAGAGCTTCTTTAACAGCTACACATCCTTTCAGACTCATAGTGCTGAGATGTCTTCTCACAGTGGAAGGATGGACAGAAACAGCTGTGGATTTTTCAGATCTGAAGAAAGAGTGGAGCTTGATCTTTAAGTCATTTTTGAACAGGTTTTTGAAAATAATGTTTTTTTCCCCACTTATCTTCTTTTGACTTTCCCCATTTATATGCAAGTGGATTATTTTATATCTAATCTCTACAGAAATATCTCCAAAATGGCCAGCTTGACTGAAAATTAATTAAAAGAAGGGTGGTCTCTGCACACACACGCACACACACGCACGCACACACAAACATAAATAAAGCAGTTGATATCCTGTGAGCTAGTCTGGAGAACAAAAGTTTGGTTCCAGATTTTTCCTAAACATTCCCAGCCATCACACATCTATTAAATTCCATCAGCAGCATTTAATTAATGAAATACTAATTAGCCAAACCAGATATTATATATATATATATATATATATATCTATATATATATATATATATATATATATATATATATATATAGTTGCAATATTAGTGTTTTTGTGAGTAAATACACTCTTACTGCCCAGATAAACAGCTTTTTAAACACAATTTTCTCAGCTGCCTATAATTTTTGTACAGTACTGTACATAAACGGGATGTAATACATATGTGTACTTACATATGTGTAATACATATGGGACATGTTATTAGTACATGAAAGAACATGCATATAATACACATGAGACATGATATATAAGACCCCATGTCCTGACAAGATAGAAAAACAAATCTCTGTGTGTGTGTGGGAGGTAGGTGTGGGTGTGTATCCCTCGACAGGGGTCAGCAGCCTTGTCTTATCAACAGCTGCAGGGCTTTTTTCCCACCGAATGGCCACGTACTGTTATTATTCCCCCTCTAACAGTTATTTGAGCCTTTAGTGCACAATATATTTGACAGTTGGACAGTTTTGTCCGCTTTTCTAACCACGTAACAGACTAATTTCCCTCCCTCCTCTGAACAGTAGAAGACGATTTAATATGACTATAATAGGACTATTAGATTGTGTACATTTGGAAGACTGGAGAGAAGATAATGCCACTGATTTTTTGTGCTTTGTTGATTGTG